GACCCGTGTAGTGCGTCCGGAAGCAAAATCGAAGAAAACGATACTACGCCGGGGTGGTATAATGCTTTCCATGGTACAGCCCCCGGCGTCCTTTCTCACACTCTCTCTTTCTAACGGAACAGAGCGTGGTACAGCGCGCCGGAGCGCGCCGGATCCCGGCTGACCTGTGGAAGAGTTGGAAAGGAAACTTGCCTCTAATTATCCTGTTGGGGCTATATAGTAGCCGCGTGAGTGCACGCGTGCGCTGCGCCGCGTACATGAGTGCGCGAGTGCGTGCTTGCGTTTGTTTGTGCGTGCGTGCGTGCGTTTGTGCGTGCATGCGTGCGTGCGTGCGTGCGTGCGTGCGTTTGGCGTGCGTGCATGCGTGCGGGCTGCGTGCGTGCGTTGTGCGTGCGTGCGTTTGGCGTGCGTGCGTGCGTGCGTGCGTGCGTGCGTACGGGTAACGCTGACGCGCGATCGAGAGGAGGACCGGACTTCAAGGAGAAGGGCGGCTCCGACGGCAACGGAATATATTATAGACTCGTTCCTTTCGACTTGCGCCGCGCCGGGCTAAAATCTCGCTCTGGGTTTCGTGTTAACTTAAGTGTCCCTGAAACGGATTTTGTGGGAGAGCGGCGCGCGTTTGCCGCACGCACGCGGTCGCTTCTTCTTCCAGTTGACCTCTTAACGGTCAATCTCTTTTTTCCTCCTTTTTTTTTCACGGCATCCGTCCGGAAGTGGATTATGGATTGCCAAAGCTTATTTTTGTATCGAGCTGCACACTCCCCCAGAAGTGAACAAATGACGATATGAAATCAAGACAAATCTGTAATGTTGTAAAATCGTAATTGTCACGCAAACAGAAAATTACGAAAATTATTAATTCTTATTTAACAACTGCAAGCAGTATTTTATGAAATATTAAAAATAAAATTTTAATAAAAATTGATTAATAATAATAAGATTTATTTATATTACTCTTGTTATATTAGGAATTAAAAATATAAAAACAAATTGTTAAAGAAGGGTTAATAATAAATAAGTACGTTATGAATAATAAATTTGTGCGCTGATTTAATGAGGATTTTTATGTATACGAATGAAATCTATGTACTCAGGAAATATCATACAAAGACAAAGACTAATAGAAAAGAAAGAATTAATACAATCATCCGTTGATCTCATAGAGCAATGACGCATGTACACGGTTAGTTTCATCCTTGAACTTTAAATCCAATTTGAACAAGTCTCTGAAAAGACTAGCTGCGCAACAATGAGGACCAGTCGTTAGTTGTTTTTGGGAAGATCCTCACCGGTCTCCAGACGGATCTGGATTCGTATAGTTAATTCGCCATTGAAGGAGCTTTAACTTGTTGCACCGGTAAGACAGGCCTACAATTCGATTGGTCTGCTTGCGTCCTCGTGAACCTCGATTATCATTCCTTTTTATGTTCTCGCATGGCTTGTCGAGATAGATAAGAGATAAGAATATATAAGGATAATAGCAGAGACATCGTTGACGTCGTGTAAAATCTGTCTTTCAATATATTAAATTTGAATTATTGAGATACAATTATTAAGCTTCAAAGTATCAAGAAATATAAAAAAAGTAAAAAGAATGAATATAGTGTAAAATATATTATTAATTATTATAAATAAAAATATATCTACATTAAGAGTTTGTAGATAAATATCAAAATATTTAAAAATCCAAATAAATTTTATATTAATTAATATACTTTTTTTTAACGTATTGTTTTCGTGATCTACGATACTGTGTTGGATTGACATGTTACATTTTACAAGTCAATTGTGGTTTATGAAAACTCAATGCTAATTCAGTCGTTTTGTGGTTTCGAAAATTGTAAGGCAACCAAAGGACACACGCTGAGGAAATTACTGTTATTTCCACATGTTATTTGCTTAGAAATCATGGAGACACTGACAGAAATAATCCAGATCAGTTCTGTCAGTTTTTTTCAACAAAACAAAGCAATTTTTTAAATTCTTCTATTTCTAATTCTTTTATTTATATTAATATTTATTATATATTTATTATATATTGACGATTAATATTGAAGAAAATTAACAATGATACGTTCTTGTTTCTCTTTAATCTTTTACGACGAATACTGTAAAACTGTATGATATATTGTGTGTGCAGTAAATATATATTATTGGTTGTTCCATGATTTGAAAATTTTGCGTTACACTTTTTTTTATATCTATTTTTTTCACATTCTTTTTTCTAAGACTTTTTTGATGCATTTACGTTGGAAAACTGCATATAGTTAAATGGTTTCTAAAAAAATGATAACAATTTTAGAAAATATATGACATATGCAGCTGCAGAATTGGAATTTATTTAATTGGAATTTATTTATTTATAAATTATTAATTTATGACCATGAAAATAAAAAAATAAAATAAAATAAATTTTCTGCACCTGCAAAATTGGATACAGGTAATTGTACGTAATTTACAATGGTATATGGATGCACTTAAGATTATAATACACGCATAAAATTGTCACACGATGTAAGTTCGAATGGTTATTTTAATTTTATCAAAAAATATTTACAAAAAATATTTATCCGATGTATTAGAAAATTAGAAATATTAAACGAATGCATTAAAGATATATATTGCATGAAACAACTACATATTAGTTTTATATATATTTGGCATCAATTTTAACCTTGTTTACAAAAATATTTATCCGATGTATTAGAAAATTAGAAATATTAAACGAATGCATTAAAGATATATATTGCATGAAACAACTACATATTAGTTTTATATATATTTGGCATCAATTTTAACCTCTTTTTTCTTGTTTTCTCCTTTATTTTGTTTTTAATATTGAGATTATTTAAAATGCTTTAATTTCTAGTTAACAGTATAAATATAAATAACAGTATAATTATAAATATATTATATAGATAAAAAATTATTAAATAGATACATATGAATGAATGAAATATGTTCTGTAATATGGATTTATAATCAGGATAACATCATAAATAAAATTTTACAGAATTATTCGTAACGTCATTTGTTTTATTTAACAAAGTGTTGTTAAATTTTATTACATATATGTGTTTTTATTTACAAGAAGGCACTGCCGGTTGCAAAACATCGTAGATTAATTTATTCCAGGCGAGTACAAAAGTGTGCTTGATTGTACATGTGTTACTCGTTGAATTTCTTTCATACATAATTTTCACAATATATAATATTCAATATATAACTTATGGCGCAGTGTATAAATAATTATGCTGTCAATAATCAGGTACACGGACATACTCGGATATTATTTACCCGAAAGTACCAAATTTATTATAAAATAATCAGAAATATTACTAAAGAAACGAAAAGAATATATCTTGACCATTGCTACACACATTTAAATTCTTAAGAAAGACAATTGGAAAGACATGCTCAATAGTTTGTTTTTATAATAAAACAATAACAAAGAGACACGTATATATATATCTCAATATATAAAATATAAAAATGGTTTAGAGAATAATATTACAAATGTATATAAATAATAGCATTATTCCCTGAACATTTCTTTTAAATATGGCCTCCTCAAAAAGATCTCTAATATGTAAATTTATATAAAATTATATATAATCTTAAACATAATGTCATAGCGCTTATTGCTTTTAATTCATTATTATTGTACTGATTTATACCAATTTATAGTTGGAACATGTTAGATGAACAAAGAAAAAGAATAGGAACTAGATAGTAGATAGAGGTATACAGATTACTCGACTCGTACTAACAGCACTGTGAATAATTGTTATATAATAATATAACAGCGCAATTGTAATTATAATGTAAATATAATAATACATATACACGTAATGCCGCTATATAAGAAATGATTAATAATAATATTAAATAATCGAATATATGGGTCCGAACGTCCGAAAAATCTGGGTATCTGAATACTGACAGCATTAATGCTTACATTCGCTGACATAGCCAATGATTCTATAGAATTGCTATAGATTTTATAGAATTACTGCGAATTAATCATTTTAACATATATACATATTTAACATAATAATTATTATTGTGTAATAATAATATAATGTGTGTAATACAATATATAATACAACATAATATATAAATGCAATGTAATATATATAATATGATATATAATATATATAAAATTATTATTATTATTATATTTTAATGTACAATAATAATAATTTTAATACATGTCGACGGATCTCATTTGGAGAACGACCTCAAATTGATAAATCATCTATCATAAATTAATGAAATCTTTATTGAATAAATTCAACAAATTCATTAAAATTTTTTCAATGAATGAATGAAAAATTTTCAATGAAAATTATATAATTTAAAGAAAACACACACATTGTATAGTATAAATATTCTTTGTGAGGTCATATAAAACTTTTGAATAAAACCATGTTTTTTCATATTGACAATTGATTTTTGATTCTGTTTGTAGGAGTATCAAGATAAGATAAAAAATTTAGTGTGTCATTATGTGACATTTTTACATTTTTTTTCATTTATACTATTGTGTTTCTCTTGAAATGATGTTATTTTATAGTATAAAACGCATTTTTGTTACGTGATAAGTAGTTAAAAAAATAATTTGAGGACGTTAAGATGGGTGATCATCCTAAATAAATAACTGTTGATAGGCCTACATTTATTTTTGGATAGAATACGAGAAAATATTTTCGCCGTAATAAATTATGAAATAGGAAGATAACATAATTAAAAATTGCAATGCATTTGTTGTATACTTTCAAAGTATCACTTCTAGTCGTACGCTTCAAAGTTATTCGATGTCAAAGTATGAAACGTAATCCTAAACATAGTACATTTCCGAAATTGTTCTGCATTTGTACCGTGAGGAGGATGACATATTACACGTAGTAGTTTAAATGACAAAATGCAAAATAATATGACTAGATTATAGTTAATGCAACAGCCGCTTTCTCCATTTACCTTTGTTTTCTTTTTCTGTTCATTTTCATCTTTATCCTATGTGCGCCTTCGGTCACTGCTGTAACAGAAAACAGGAAAGAATTCGTTAAATAAGCGTCCAACATTATTAATATATGAGTTAATGATTTTTGTTTGAGTAAAGAAATTAAAGATTTTATTATACACAAAACTTGAATATTATACACAAAACTTTACATGAATCCATAAACGATTCAATGCTTGTATTTTCAACGCAATATCGATTTCTTCGAATAGATTGCGGGTTTCTCGTTGGCAGAGAATGATAAAAAAGAAGTCCTGCAGGTATGCGAGATGGAAGAAGTAGGGGATGATTTCAGGTAAGGGCGGTTTTACTGCATGCTCTTCGTGAGCAAAAGTGAGAAGAAAAGTGGAAAGAAGAGGAGAAGAGAGTGAGAAAAAGAGAGGAGAGGGAGAGAGAAAAAGGAGAGAGAACGTACCGGTTCAAAAACCGACAAACGAGGGACGGGAATATCCTGAAAGATGCATTCAGGTTAAACGCGGCAGACGAAATCGTTCTTGTGAAAAAGAGAGGTGCAATAGGAGGTGGATAAAGAAGGACGACAGGGGAAACGTAAGAGACAGGGATAAGGGAAGATACACATACAAGATATATACATATAGAAATGACGATAAATCCGAAAGTTACGTCCATCAAGATTAAAACTAAACGGGAGCTTCGGAAAGTAATCGAATTTTCTTCTTGCAATTTGTTGAGGTTTTTGAATTACAAAAAACTCACAAAGAATTTTTCTCAAGAAAATTTTTACGAAGGCTTAATTACTTTAGGTTATTATTCTTTTCTCGCATATTTTTATTTTGGCTTGTTATATTAAACAATTCTTATGAGCAATAATCATCAGTATGAAAAATTAAAACAATTTTTATGTTGTGCCAGTTTTATTAAACGACAGTACATTTCGAGCTTTATACAATGTACGTATTCAACCGAAAAAAGTTCTTCGATGATCAGATCGAGCGACTTGGAAATGCCGCTGAAGGACGAGGGGCGGGGTGGAGTCGGGGAAAAAACGGTAGAAGAGGGACCGACACGTACACACGTATGCGCATTAACGTACCGTGAAAGAAATCGCGGTACAAAAGCGTCGCTCCTCGAATGTATACTCGCTGCCCTTCTGAATGGAGTCTGCGATTTGAATGGTTTCAGCGAGGGTTCGCGCGCGCCATTGTGAGGGGGCAAGGTCACAAATCTACTCAGAAATTTCTTTGAGCTTCCCGGTAACATAGCGAAATATTCCCCTTTGAGCGGAATATACGTTTGACAACTGGCGAGGGTGGTAGGCATAAAAAAAAATATTTTTCGAATAATTAAATCGCGATCGAGTTATCGAATATTGATATGTCGATGACACTTGTATCAATAATAATATAAAAATTAATAATAATCAATTATCAATTCTTGAGTTAATTCTTCTGAAAAAATAAATTTTATATAATAATGTAATATTCATCTAGAAAATAAAAAAATAAATGTAATAAAAATAATTAAAAATTGGAGTAAAGTTATGATTGATACACAATACCACAAGGAAGATTCACTATTAACTCACAAAAGGTATTCAAAAAGAAACGACTGACGTACGACTGACATTCACGATTACGTCACGCGATGCAAGGCCGCAAGACTTTGCAACGTGAATGACCTACGAGTTACAACTAAAAGAGAAAAACATCAGATCACAACACCAACCTTCAAAAGGACGCAAAAGTCCAGTAGAACTGATGTTGACATCCTCACTGACTCTGCTGCCACCAGGAGATGACGTCCAGCAACTCCTCGTCCTCCGGACTCATTGGCTCATAATTGTCATAACTATCGGAATGTGTCGTATAAAGAGTGCCAGGCGTACTGTAACCTTGACTTCCGGCTGATGAAGTCTCAGAGACGAAGCTTGGCGTTGGTGAACTCGACGACTCCGAACATGTTGTCGGAACAAAAGTTGGACTCGGATTCTGTCTGAGATGCTGATGTCGGAGATCAGATGACGTACCGTGATGATGGATCTCCCCGCTGATATTACCTCGTAATCTAAGTTCCGCCGAATGGTTCGAGTCGGAGCCTATTCCGTTTTCACCTCCGGGTGAGTTGGAGGACGTTGAAGTGGGGGATGACCCGTTGGATTCGGAACTACCGTCATGCTCCGCTAAAAGACGTTGAAGACTTCTAATGTACTCTACCGCCATTCTTAGAGTCTCTACTTTGGATAATTTCTTGGCAGCTCTGGACCCGCCATGAGTACCAGCTGTACTACTTCCTAGCGCCTGCGCCACCGTTTGCGGTATGTGTTGTCTCAAAGTGGCGAATCCGTTATTCACTTGCTTCACCCTGTTGCGCTCACGCGCGTTTCGTCTGGCCACCGAAGCGGGCTGATGTGGTACCGTGCCATAAGGTCCAGTGGCTTGGTTGTAAATCTTGGACCGTTTGCATCCATGTTGTAGAGTACTATTATTGCTTGGTGTACTGCTGGTGGAGACAATCACATTGCCACGATGGGTTTGCGCGGTTGAAGTAGTGTGAAGGCCGTGGTGATGATGCTGCTGCTGCACACTCAGCATGATGGGCAGGATGCTCTCCTCCTTGGGCCCCACTAAGGTCATATCACGGATCCGAATCTCCCCACCACCCGGGAGCAGAAATTGTAGCAGCGCGTGCCAGGCGACCTTCGTGCGACACTACTTGACGTATCGAAGAGAAACTTCTTCAGAGTGAAGTTGATGCGATTCGTTAACACCCCGTAATACGCGCGATTGTGAAGATGAGAAAAACAGACAACAACGTGTGGTTTTTACTCAACCAACCAAAAAGAAAAAATGTGGAAAGAAAAATTAAACGGCACCCTCGATGCTCTCGGTACGATTCTGGCTCCCGAAATGCCTAGCCAATGAGGGTTCGGGGTCTTATATAGCCGGGGCGGGCACGCGCCTATCCCCACACGCTCTCGATCTCGGGTCTTAAACCCCCGTCTTCTCCCTTTCCCCCGTTTTACCGGCCCGCAGTGCCTCATACCCCTGTGATTCCCCACTACTGTGGTCCCAAAGACCCTACGCTGCCCGAGATTCTCATCTTTGAATCTTCATACTTCGCCGCTACTATCCTGATCTGTTTGCCGATTTACTTTTCGGACCACGATGCGTTGTTATCATCACGATAGGACTTATCGTCGGCGTGTGTCGTCAAAGTAGTTGACGGATTGATAAGTTAACGTTAAGGCTAGGAAAAGATAAATCGAAAGATGTGGCTTGTATATTTCTTTTTTATTATATTTGTACATGACTAAACAATTAACGCTCATATATATAAATATTATACATTTAGCTTGCTCATTTATGGGCGTCCTTTTTATGTCTAAATATAAAATATACATATATAGAATATATCGCGCATTAAAACTCAATTTGGAAATACATATTCTACAAAAAAAAACCTTTGTTGATAAAAAATTTAATTAAATTAAAAGAGATATGAAAATAAAAGAATACAATCAAAATTTTGCTAGCAACAAGCTATATCATCATTTTAAGATTTCTGTATCAAATCTGTATTTTGTATAAAAATTTATTTTCAAGGAACGTGAAATTTATATTTGTACAGAGAATAGTTTTCTATACACACAGTCACATAACAGCTCGAATTCAGTAAGGCCCAAAATCCATATGCAATCGTGTGAGAGACACTGGCGCGCACATACGAAGGGTCCGCATCCCCACCGGTCTCGCGGTGTCTCGGGGATCGAAATTTGAACAGTTACCGAGAGAAAGAAAAGCTGGTCCAGAGGTCCGCGTAAGTCGACAGAAAGAGATGGCGAGAGAGCGAGGTGTAGAACACACTGACGAGGACAGAAGCCGCAGAAGAGGAAGAAGAATGATGAGGAACAAGGAGTGGGAGGAGATGGAGAAGCTGTGCAGAAGACGAAGAGGTACCGGAGGAGGGTAAGGGAGCCCGGTGGCACGGTACATACGAGTACCCGAGACGACTGCAACAGTGGGGAGAAACAGCGGCAGAAGAGTATAGTGATGGGCACGACTGCGGCACGTGTCTTCATCTTATATACTTCATTTGATGTAATATAAACACATTGTAAACTGGAAAAAATTAGAAACATTTTGAAAATTTTAATAATTGATATATTTTTAATTTATTATTTTTTTTAAAGTAAAAATGTACTTGAAAATAAACTTCAAAATTTACTATTAAAAAGAAAAATCTTCGGTGTGTTTCTCCTCACGAAACACCGAGAATCATGAAAGGGGTAGTGGATGATATATGGGCATATAACTATGTACAAATCTTAGAAAACATTTTTATTTTTCTTATGTACTAAGCTGTCTAAAAGAAATGGAACCAATGATATCGCGTTCGCTGCCGTCACTAGTAAAGAAGACATGTATGACGACAAAGGGGAAGGGGAAGAGACGCGAGCCGTCCTCCCTTCCTCACATTCGTGGCGCGCGCCTACTCCCATCCATCGGCCCTTCCCTCTCCCCATTCGTCCGGTTTTATCCTCACCGTGCGGAGCGTGCGTCTGCATACATGCGTGCGTGCGTGCATGCGTATACGAGGGCGCACGCGTTCTTGCTCGGGCCTCGTGCTTAAGGGCGCTCGTATGGGGGATATACGTGCGCGCATACACGCGTGAGAAGTCGCGTTCCCTGTATGCGTACGCGTCTGTGCGTGTGCGTGCTCGCGCGTGGAACAGGTATATGCTCTCCTCGTTTCTTTTTTTTTTTCTCCCTTTCGATTCTGGCGGTTCTTCCCATCTCTCTTCGCAGGTCTGTGTTTCTCCTTGTCGAAAGACGACGCGTGAGAGAGCGCTATAGGGCGGTAGGGCCCCGCTGGACATTCCTACGTGAATAAATAAACGTCAGGCGGATGCCCGACGGTTTGGATAGATAATAGATGCGCGCTTTGAAATTTTCGATAAGGACGCGCAGGAACGCGAAAGAGATAACGTCTCGAAGTGCTGGGAACGCGAAATTTAAGCGTGAGACAAATGAAATTTTAACGATCAATGAATAAAATTAAATATTACAGACATTATGGCTGCAAATTTTACGTTAATATAAATTTTATACTTTTTTATTATTTTTCATGAATTTATTTCGGATGGAATTTATCGATATTAATATATTTCTTTTCTAATGATGACAATAATATTTGCATTGCATTAAATATTTGTTATGTACAATTGACATGATAAATAATTGCTATATATTTAACTAGATATCCGATTAATAAAAAAAAAAATGTATATGAATGTCATTTAATCTAAAGAAGAGAAAGGAATTCGAAGGCATCGCTAGACGCGCGGCGATGACGATGTCAAAGAGGGAAACGGGGGAGATCGTATATATAAAGAATGGACGCGGGGTGAAGATTTTTTTCAAGAAAGAAAGAGAAAGCGAAAGTACGCTCGTGATAGTCTTATTATCTTAAACCTCCGAATTAGAATTTATTTCGTAATTATATTCTTTCGAGCTTCTCGATTCTTTCGGCCAAACACTTCGCCGCTAATTACCGTGGAATTAATTACCGTGTCGAGTGGTGAGATGAACGATGCCACGTTCGTGTTCTCCGAGTTAACCCTTGCTGGATACGTCGACTCCTTCGGATGCAACTGCGATTCGAAACACGCGTTGCAGTCGTCTCGCGCCTCGGGCACGGTTTTAGATGTTAGATCGTTCAGATCATTGTCCCGCGCGATCATAGAGATTAGAGGGCTTTCTGGTTGGTCGGATGAAGTATGGACCATGGATGCGCTATGCAGTTGTTACAATTTCTCTCAGCCCTTTTGTTCTCCATCATTTTCACGACGGAGGCGTTTAGAGCAGTTTAGTTCTATAATACGTTGTTGTAATAATATACCAATGCTGATTTGTGTCGATTACACGTTACCACGAACAGTTCGACGAGTATTAAAGTAAAAATGATAATAATAGTTGTAGTTTATCCTCATATTTTTAGTGACTTTGTGTGAAATATTTTTGGTGTGTCGGCTGTACATTATTTATAAATACGTATATATAGTAGATAACTTGTCATTATTTTCGGTATTGTGAAATTAACATCACTTTTGTAAAGTGCCTTATTCGAATACGTCACCTACAAAGAGAATTTTTCTAGATCCCTAATTGCAGACGCTTTTATAGTGGCGACAAGGTCAATAATGATCATCCTCGAAAAATCGTATCCACTATAAAGCAAAATGCTTTGTCATCAAAATCATTTATAACAATACAGACATCGAGTAATAAACTTCATCATGGACATATGACAGCGCGTGCTTTTATTTTTTTACAAATCTCAAGTGTTACGTATGGATGTAATATCGGACGTAAGCGCAGTTTATATAACAATTATAACAGCACATTTTGCTGGCAAATCTAAAAATTTGGCTAGATACAGATCTGAAAATGATTTTATTGGGCCTTCAAAATTATTATATACGATGTTCAAATTGATTGTTAGAAGCATTTTAGAAACATTTTTGCAGTATTATCATCATATTTAAGTGTTCTACAAAATAATTTTGATGGGCCAACAAAATCGTTTTCAGATCTGTATTTAGCCAAATTATTAGATTTGCTAGCAAAAGTGTTCTTTCCATGAACTATTAATTAATAAGAAGCAATTAATTTTGAATAAGTTTTTAAATTTTAATCATTTTTTTGTATCAGTTATTATACAATTATATCATCGAAAATGTGACGCGTTCTCACAATTACAATTACGATTGATAAAATTAATATTGTCGTAATTAAATTCACAAAATTAGATCTGACATGTGCGACACAGGTTTATCACGAAAGTATGTGCTTTCACATGTCGGCAGGTCGACACCGGCTCGCATATGTAATATACAAATACTTCAGTGTTCTGGAATGGGCAGAGAGTCGAGAAGGGGCAGTTCGAGGGAGAGAATTTACTCATGCATACGTCTATTTCGTGAAGGGTCATGTGGGGTTGCCGAACAGAATATAATCGGCGACGCATATGGCGCGCAAACGTATGTAGGTATTGGTGCGTGAACTAACGTACCTCACATATGTCGCAGCAGGTTGGCCGGATACCGGAGCTGCTGATTAATTCATTCATTATCAATAGCCCGAAGATTTTTTTTATGCTTTTTAAGAAGCGAGATTAGAAAAATTTTGTGCAATTTATTAGAAAATTAGGAAGATGGGCTATGATTGATAGAGCATAATAGAATTAGAAAATTATCGAATTAATTACTAAATTAGTTAAACGTTAACAATTAATGCATAAAATAAGACATGATAATACATGATAATACATAATACATAATTATTAGTTTATTTGGCAAATTTCTTGACGAGTGACATTGTTTAATTATAAACAATTTATAAGAGAAATGAGCAAGAGGAATCAGCTGATGTTTAAAGAAGCTATATAATCGTATTGAGATATTAAATGCTCGGATAAATGGTGAGCGTTATTAAGATGGCGCCAATTACTATAACTCCGGGAAGCGTATATGCACTTATCGTACTGTAATTAAACTGCTTCTGCACGCGTGTGTTAACGGACGATATGCACTTGTTTAAGAGACGAGTAAAGTTTTTTGACAAGGTGGTACTTATTGGAATTTATCCTCCCAACTTATCCTTCTTGGATCCCATTTCAGAGGAAAAGAAAAAAGAACAGGGCAAATTTTGCCGTAACGAATTAATTTATATAAGATAAAATGCCATCTTCATGAACGTTTGTGTACATTTTTATCAGGATATAGCTGATAAAAATGAGAAAATATTTTTTAAGAAGTTCATAAAAACGTCCTTTAGTGATATATCTTTATCATCATGATTGATATTATTATGTTCCTATAAGATTAACTTTTAAAATCAAGAAATG